GTCTTCTGGGTTGTTGCGCTGTGTAGTCTGGTCGATGTTAACCAACGTTTCAGAGGTCATACTGCCTCCGTCATCAGGGCGGTCGCCCTGATGAAGGAGGCAGTATGACCTCTGAAACGTTGGTTAACATCGACCAGACTACACAGCGCAACAACCCAGAAGACAGAAATCTTCATACTCTGATGACGGAGGCAGTATGACCTCTGAAACGTTGGTAAACATCGACCAGACTACACAGCGCAACAACCCAGAAGACAGAAACCTTCATACTCTGATGACGGAGGCAGTATGACCTCTGAAACGTTGGTAAACATCGACCAGACTACTCAGCGCAACAACCCAGAAGACAGGAATCTTTTCCCTGAGCTTAAACACTGTGCCATGAAATGTATGGGGCAGTGGTTCTGTGAATGATCTGAAATTCCTTTATGTTATGATGCAACATTCACAAACCCACTTCCAATTTTTTGGACTATTTCTGTTTAACTCTTCCTTTTAGATGTTTTAGAACATTCAAATAAAGTACTTGATTGACTGTTTGTCATTACAAATCTTGTCATTAATTGTGCAGTAATGATGGTGTGGAACATTCAGGCAGATCTCCTGTAATGTCAGCCATTTCATAATTTGGTTACCACTGTCAGCAGATGCACGTAAAACAGTGTTTTACTCACCTTACAAAGCAGCAACTTTCTACTGATATGATGAAGTCAGAAATAGTTATCAGTATCTGTGCTTTATTGTCGCTGTTGTGTATTCTTTGATGTACAGTAAAATATATCCCAGAATTTATTGTCTATCTTCATATATTTTCTAGATATAAAATTTAATTAATAAAAATTACACAGTAAGTTTCTTGTTTCCTGCAGGATACCATTTGTACGTGACGGCCTTCTTAATGTAGGCCAGATTAATTTAGCAAAATGGCAAAGTCCTCAGCCTCTGCATGGAATGAAGATTTTGGAGGTTGGATGTGGTGGAGGTATACTGACTGAAGTATGTGTTACGCAAATCTCAGGTTCCTAAACCTTTTTTTTAAGGGTCCCAGAATTTGTACTTATAATCCAGTCACAGGACAGTTGTCATCAGTTATTTGTCCTGTGTCATGGAAAAGGTTCACCTGATGAAATATTGTTAATCTGTTTGGCTCAGAAGAGTCAGGAAATGGATGTACGAGGCGCGTCCTCAAAGTAAGTTTCCCACTCGTCCCACAGCTAGCAAACCTTATATTGCGCGAAGCGACTGTGCGTACGTGATAGAGCAATGACGTAGCATGGCGCATGCACTAACGGCACTTCCCGCGTTCTCACAGTAGCATCGTTGCAGCTGTTGAAGATGGAGGTTCTTATTCCAGCTCCCGCCGACTGTGAAGTGCGGTCAGTGATAACGCTAGGCCGCACACGGCTCGACGGACAGCAAGTCTCCTGCAGAAGTTCAGCTGGGAGGTGTTTAATCATCCACCCTACAGCCCGGACCTCGCTCCCAGTGATTTCCATCTTTTCCTACACCTCAAGAAATTCCTGTCCGGTCAGCGTCAGCGTTTTGAGAATGACAGAGAGGCGGAGATGGCTGTCACACAGTGGTTCCAATCCCAGGCGGCAGACTTCTACGACACAGGTATTCAAAAGTTGGTCCCACGGTATGACAAATGTCTCAATTCCGGTAGCGAATATGTTGAAAAATAGCTGGACACTTGCTGCATCTGTTGCAATAAATATTTCCATGAAATTGTGTTTTGTTTCTGTAAACGGCCCCAGGGAAACTTACTTTGAGGACGCGCCTCGTATGAACTCTTTGTGGCAAGTTAACTGAGAATTAGATCTTACAAAATGTTAGACCGAGCGGCGCAAGGCCCACGCCTCAGACCGCGCAGCCACTGCGGACCCCAAATATTTTATAATGTATGATTATATGGATCCTTTCAATTTTTTTCGAGTCATTTTATCCCGAGTGTGTACTCATTCAGATAGCACCAACATTTATTTTGGTCTTTAAAATTAAAAAGGTGAATGAACTTTCAGTTTGGGCAGTTTCATGACTAGCTGAGTGACTGTTACGTTTTCAAGAAGTTATCTGTTCCATTAAGTTTTTGAAACTGTTTTCAGTGGTTACTGTGCTGTATAATTATTCGTTTATTCATATCAAATAAATTTTGCAGCCACTCGCAAGAATTGGTGCTAACGTAACTGGAATTGATGCAAGTCAAAATATGATTGATACAGCATCTTCACATGTGTGTCAAGATCCTAATATATCAAACTCCATTATTTACACGTGCAGAACGATAGAGGAACATGCAAAGGAACACAAAGATTGTTATGATGCAGTTGTGGCAACAGAAGTATTGGAACATGTCATTCACAAAGATTTGTTTTTGGATGCATGCATATCAACATTGAAGGTAAGGTATACCGTGTGCGTTATTGTTATTGGTCGTTTTCAGTATTAATCGATGAGTGAAATGGAATAGTTCACCAAAAGAAGTGAATTGTAGACATGTACAATTAAAGGGAAATAACTAAATAATGTGAAGTATTCAGAACTAGTAGTGTCGTTAACAAAGGACAGTTAACATATGGAATAATTTTCAGTTGTTTATATAATGTTGTGTGATGTCTTGCATAGAGTAATAAAAAATGTAACATGCCAAAATTAAGGAAGGAATGTATACTTGGAATTAAGCACGGACTTTCATATCTACAGGCAAAATTGTTATTGAACTCAGGAATGTTAATAGCGACCCATCAACAGCAGCTAATTTAAGTAATTTTATAACACTTAGTGAAATAAAAGGTTAATATTAATTTATTACCAGGACATGGGTAATTTTGATAAAAAGCTTAAACATCAACTAAGTGGTAGCTGTAGCAAACAAAAGTCAAGTCAGTTGAACAGTTTCACATTTGTCTCAACGTGACATTGCATAACTGGGAATTTAAGAAGACTGAAGATTTCTGTTTTCTGAGTTGTTGCGCTGTGTAGTATGGTCGATGTTAACCAACGTTTCAGAGGTCATACTGCCTCCGTCGTCAGAGTATGAAGATTTCTGTCTTCTGGGTTGTTGCGCTGTGTAGTCTGGTCGATGTTAACCACTGTTTCAGAGGTCATACTGCCTCCGTCATCAGGGCGATGAAGATTTCTGTCTTCTGGGTTGTTGCGCTGTGTAGTCTGGTCGATGTTAACCACTGTTTCAGAGGTCATACTGCCTCCGTCATCAGGGCGATGAAGATTTCTGTCTTCTGGGTTGTTGCGCTGTGTAGTCTGGTCGATGTTAACCACTGTTTCAGAGGTCATACTGCCTCCGTCATCAGGGCGATGAAGATTTCTGTCTTCTGGGTTGTTGCGCTGTGTAGTCTGGTCGATGTTAACCACTGTTTCAGAGGTCATACTGCCTCCGTCATCAGGGCGATGAAGATTTCTGTCTTCTGGGTTGTTGCGCTGTGTAGTCTGGTCGATGTTAACCACTGTTTCAGAGGTCATACTGCCTCCGTCATCAGGGCGATGAATACTGCTTGAAATACATTGCACACGTAGGCAGAGAATTATTTTTTCTTCAGGTCTCTTTTCTGTTAGTTATTTTATGGAGATTCCAAAATGTTCATAGTTGATGTTTAAGAATTGTTGGAATGGGGTTTCCCTTTCTTATCCACAGATATTTACCCTGAAGATGACAATTGCAGCGCTTTTTGAAATATCGTAACACCTTCGACACTTGATGCAGTTAATCTTCAGAAGCTGAAGTTGTAAATTAAATTCTAGCTATGGAAACCAAAGGACAAGAATTGTGTATTATTTTTTTCTAGATGCATGTTACCGTGTCTTGTTATATTTCAGCCTGGTGGATCCATCTTCATCACAACTCTGAACAGAACAATTTTAATGTGGGCAATTGGTATTTTCTTGGCGGAATATGTTCTGAAAGTGGTGCCGCAAGGGACTCATGATTTGAATAAATGTATTACGCCACTTGAAGTACAAGCTTTACTTGAGAAATGTGAGTATACTGAAGGGAAAATATTATTCAGTTTACATAGCGGCTGTTATCAGCATTATCTGTTATCTGTAATTACTGCAGTCTGTTATTCATAGGTATTGATTAAAAAGAGCCCTTCTATAATGTTACGTAATTTTAGATGGATGTACCACAAAACTCATCCATGGGATGCGGTATAATTTTCTGTCAAATGAATGGCATTGGTCATCAGATACCAGTATCAACTACGCTATCCATGCAGTACGAAAGCAGCACTGATTGTGTCGCCTTGAACGACGTCACAGAATGAAGAGATACCTAAACTAAGTTTCTATACAAGGAAATGATTGAGAGTTCAAGAATTTAAGTTGGTGTTCCAGTGAATACAAATAATTGTATGTATCACATTAAATTCCATAGACTTGTTTCATAGGTTTTTAAATGTGAGTTTTATGTTTCTAAAATCTTGTAATAAAATCATCACATGGAATTAAGCTTTACTAAAGAATTTGCTGTAGTGATTACTGATATAATATACTGTGTTTAAGTGTGGGGTGATGAATGTAATTTGTATTCATGTATTGGAAAACACATAAGATGTCAGACCTTTTCATTGTGTGATGTAAATTTACATCAAAATTTTTTTGTTAACAGTAAGTGGTGGCAGTGATCCTCACATACAACAGCGTTTTGTCTGATATTACCAGAAGGTAGGAAAGGACATATAATAAGGACTGCTTACACACAGCTGTAATTTAATTCCAAAGTTAATGTCATTTTATAAAAAAGAAATGGAACTATAATAATTCCAAGAGTATTGTACGAGGTCTGTTCAAAATGTATCGGACCTTAATTTTTCCCACAGAAACAAATGAAGCACGGGAGGTGTCCTCCGGTGGAGGGGTGTAGGGGACCTGCATGCGTGAATTTTTTCCCGCCCGCCCACAGAGTATGTATTCTTTTTCAGTTTAATACATGCTGATGAACACATAATCAATATATAATCCATGCACATTAACCATTTTCATGCTGAGCTTTGTTTATGTGATAACGTAGCAAAATCGTTCAAGATACCTCATGACAGGTAGCGAATGAAGTATATTTTCGCTAACATTACTGCAACATAATCAGTAGTTAAACATGCAGTCTTGTTGAAATTGAATTTATTATATGAATTAGTACAATTAATCATTCTTCTTTAATTAATTTTCTGTTGGTCTACAAACTGCAGTTGTAATAATTTTCCTCATTTTCAATTATGTTAAAGTCCAAATACTTTCAATTTTCACTCGTCTTCACAGCTATTTAGTACGCAGTTCTCTACTTGCTAGTTCTGCCACCAAAAACCCTGTCACTCAACTGACAGAAATAATTTATGCTGTGACTGACTCCACATTCTAAATGTCTCTCATCCCTCAGTCCCCTCTCCAAGGGTGGCATGATACACACCCAGCCAACTGCGTGGAGCGATGTCTCGACGGGCCGAGTGTACGTGTTGCGTTACTAAACATCAGATGTTTTCAGAATGGAGAAGTTTTTCTGAGTGAAGTATCGTGTTAAGTACATGTAAAGGGTTCATGACTTCGGAAAATCATTTCTTGCAGATTAATTAAAACTGTATTATAGATTAAATAGAAATATTCTTTTTGTTTGTAGAAAGTGGTTATTTTGGGGTATTGTAATGTAACTGAGATTGTTATCAGTCTCTTTGTGCAGATTTTTATTTCAGTTGTGTATCTTGCAGGCTGGCATTTTTGTTATTAAAAAGTTCTCATAGGAACATACCAGGAAATATTGATGGAGAATGTTTAGTTTTGGTATGTCTGATTTCTTGTTTTTCAGTTTTGATTGCACATTTTAAAATCTCAGCAATTAAAACTTAAATAGTTATTAAGACATCCAAGGACTATACATTTTTACATTGAACTTCTTTAAAGCTAAAGAGAACAATTCAAAATATACATGGTCATGAATTTTTTCAGTAAAGAACTCCAGCCACTGACAAAACATTTCTCTGTTGATCCATCCATTGCACAAGACACCAGGTGTCCTATTGGAGCTCAATCAAGAAGCCATTTCTCTGTGTTTGTGGGAGATTAGAAATGGTCAGTAAGCGAGTTGCATAGCAGCAGCAAATTGCTGTTATTTCCACTTGTTTCTTTCCTGTAGTTGAAAGAATTTTGGGAGGCTTTTTGTTGAAGTTTGTACACTAGTGTCAACCATTTTGTAAAGACTTTTAGTTCCTACAGGAAAATGCATAAACAAATCATTTGTCGACAACTGAATCTTCTAGCCCTAGAAACTGAACTGGAATCCTCTGAACATGGAGTTATATCTGAATGTCTCCTAATGAATCCCATAAACCATTAATCTCCTGCTGCTTTCTGTGCAAAATCATATTCAAGTTTCATAAAATCTTCTGCCATCATACCATACCGTAAAGTGCCACAGTTTACATGACTGGATGCAGAACTTAAGTAAGTTGGACGTACATAAAGAAATTACGTCATTAAATGGTGAAAAACTGGGTCGTGTAAGGAGCGATGATGTGACAATTCATACTAATAGAAATGGTGTTTAGACTGTCCAGTGTGCTGTGTTGGTTCTGTAACTTTCACTAATCTCTTGTCAGTAAGATGGCAGAAAAGGGAATGATTATAATCTTAAAATTCTGTGTTGGTTCTGTAACTTTTGCTAATCTTTTATCAGTAAGACAGCAGAAAAGGGAATGATTATAATCTTAAAATGTTGCTTGCCAAATTTAATGTCCGAGTGGCTGCAGTATTAAGAAAAGTGGAGGCCCCTGCAACAAGGGCTGGTGGCTGGACCGGGCTCCAGATGGAGGGCTTGAGGAAGACTGTACTGTAGTCAGAATGCCATTCTGTTACCTCTGGCATTATAGGTTAGGACATCTGAATGAAAAGGATACGAATTTTCTCAGAGGCATGGTAATGGGCATGAACAAGTAGAAATTATGAGCCGTGTATCCAAGGGAAACAAAGCAGAAAATATTTTGAGAAAACTGAAGCAAAGTGTGTATCAGAAGTGCTAGAACTTATGCACACAGCTGTATATGGCGCGGTGTTGAACACATCACGTGGCAGAGCACAATATTTGCAAACACTGACAGATGGCTCTAGCAGGAAGATCTATGGTCACTTGTAGAAATCAAAGGGTGAAGTTCATGCTAAATTTATGGAGTTCAAGCTACTCACAGAAAATTAAACAAACAGAAATAAGATCAAACAACAAGCAATAGTGTCCTATAGCCCAAAACAAAATGGCATGGCAGAATGAGTTAACAGGACAGTAATATAAGAGGCTTGATAATTGCTGCTTGACTAGTGGTGCCACCTAATGGCAGATTTAAAAAATTATTGATGTGAGCTACTGTATCAGTTCATGAGTGTCGATATTGTTGTACAAGAAATTTGGATAAATACAAACATCAATGTTCAAGATGATTATCCCTGAAAATCTGCATGATTCTCTTTAAATCACAACACACATGAACACGTTAGTTCAACTTCAAAATGGATGCTTCGAATAATCGGTGCAAAGTGAATAGTTACCCATTTTGCCTAGGGAATTGCAATAGATTTGACACCAAAACAACAGACAAGACTCTACTGTTATTGTGATCGAAAAAGGACACTTACAAAAATGGCCGTATTCACAAGAGCCCGCCACTGGTCCCTATTCTCAGCCAGATGAATCCAGTCCGTCATATATTATATAGAGAGTGGAAAATTGGCTCCTTAGCAGCCACAGAGGGAGACAGAGCTTCCCACACCATGACGAGGGCAATTAACTTGAAAATCAAGTTTCCACGAGGAGAGTGATGAATGTAAATACCACAGATGGTTTCAACATAGTTAGATACTACCAACATTACAGCTGCACTATCACAGTTGACTTCGAAGAAACTTGTTCAATTTGCATCGAGTATTGTCCTTGCCGGGATCTTCCCTGCATGGTCTTGTATAGAAGTCTCATGATGGCATTTTGTCACGTGTGGCCATTTCGTACTTCATGTTTACATCATGTCAACTGAAATGTAAGTTATACGTACAGATACTTCTGTTACTCTGTTCCTTATTTGAAGTAAATTGAGTACATGTTTTGTCTTCCAATACTACATTAGACTTACTTGTTTTTCAAGTCAATACTGAGCAATTTTATTTTCCAAAGCGCCCTGCTGGGAGAAACTTTTCGCTATAAAGAGAAATCCTTATCTCCACCGTACCTAACCTAACTTAACCTAACCTAAGTTTTATATATGGTAGTTTCCGGATTAACCAGGGTCTGTTTGGTTTTAACGTAAGGTGATAATTAATTTAGGAAACCTGTTGTAAAAGTTAGAACGTTTAAAAAGAAATGAATAAACACAATGACATATTCAACGTATTAACATAAATCAGTTGTTGCTAAAATATGAAGTCTATGGCAATAGGACGTTGTTACTATCTGCTGGAATCCGGTATATTTTCCTTTATTAACATTGTTACAGTAATTTCTCAGTTGTGTAAAATAATTAATGTTATTAGTAAAACTTTATAAATTTAATTTGTGTATGTCTGTAAATAATCTTGCTTATTTGTTACATTTGTGTGTTATTCTTTAATTTTTGCGGATTATCCGGGGTTAAATTTATTCCGGCAAAATATATTTCCCAGACAATCGGGAATCTTCTATAAATGAACAAATAACTTCTTTGTAAAAGCATTACTGTTTGAAACAAATTTGAGACAGTGCAAAGGTCAACTATCGTCCATGGTAGGTTACATTATCCGAAATTCATCAATACATGGTTTTAAAAATGTATCTTCTTTAAAAATTCCCATCTATTTGTGTTGGGGAAAAAAAAATACACGAAGAATCGATTGTATTGTCCGTCCGTAGCCATGCTAAACATAGTATGACCCCCAGAAAACTGTCTCCCTTCCCTTCTCCCCGCTCCTTCATCTATCCACCGGCGACTTCGAGAATTTCATTTGACGACTTAACTACTCCACTGAATCAAGCTCAAGATCACATCCGAAGATTCTGCACAGTTAGATTTTCGAGAGTAAAAGTAAATATTATCAAGTTTCATAAAGAATGCAGAGACCATCGTTCTGGAGAATCCCCGAGAATAAACCAGACCCCGACGAACGATATTACGTAAGTAAATAAGTTATAGGCTGTAGTGACTAGTGCAGTTAGTGGAGGGGAGAGGGGACGGTCCCATAGCAACGTCAGCTTAAAAATAGAGGCATTTCGATAGGGTACGTGTTACGTTATCAATCATTACCACATCACGGGGACATAACTTCTAACTGAGATGAGCAGAGATTCTGTAGGCCAAATATCTGCACGCAATATGTCCTCAATATGGTTGAGACGCTGTCTTGACATTATCCTAGCGGGCGCAACGCGAATTACGAGTATCTTCAGTCAGGATTACCGATACCATAGGCCAACTGTGGACGATATTAATATTTTATCAGAGTAATCTTCAATCTTAAGTATCCGTGTGATTATCGGCGCCATAATAAATTTGTTAAGATGTAATTAATTTTATCTGGTCCTGCCTGTTTCTTACTCAGCTATGATAAAATATTTTAATTATATTATATCTGAGTTACGTATTGATTTATAGATCGTACGCCTAAAACGTAATGAGTTTCGTTATTTATTGGAAAAAAAAAGTTTTAATTCTGCCTCATACATTCGTTACAAAATGTCCACAAACTTTGATTTAACTCAGCGTTTTATTTCAGTACGTAATAAAAAATAATCCACGGAAGTATAAATCACGTGGTAAAATAATCCTTTCCTTATCAAATCTAAAACTTCTTGAGTCAATTGAATAAAAATTTTCTTGGATATTATCCACCGTCTAGTAAATATAAAACGTAAAACGACGTTTCTGAGATAGAGTCCCATCTCCGAAACGTCGTTTTACGTTTTATATTTACTAGACGATGGATAATATCAAAGGAAATTTTTATTCAATTAATCCTTTCCTTGTTTACTATGACCTTGTTTTAGAAAATGTGGCGTGTGATAAATGTTTGGCAGAATGTGTTTTTGAGTCTACTTTGATATTTATCTACAATGACAGTTCGTGGCTTCCAATCACCACCACCAAATGTAATATTACATTTGAGAATAATATTAAATATTAAAATTACAGTAAATTTATTGCCAAAAGTAGCTTAACAGGAGAAACAGAAATGTCCCTCATAATATATGACGTTATTGAAAAACAACTTCTGTCTTAGAGGAACCTGAAGACGCCACAACTGCCTCTTACATCAATACACGAGTAAGTTATTTCGGGTTTAAAGTGGGGCTACACTGTTATTCTTGACATCTTGAACTGGCTGCTGTGCTTAACATTAGAAGCTATTGAAAGTCATTTTCGCAGTTGGGTTGCTTGCCAATAATCGTTAAGGACGTTTCGGGTCAAAGTGTTAAGCAAACTTACTTTGCCTTCAGTAACTACTCGTCCATTATCTCCGCATTTCTGACAGTTTATTGTCTGAAACTTCAAAATAGGAAGAACGATTAACACTAGCGATCTGACAACACAGAAGACAATCGACTGAAGTATTTAGTTCCAGATGTACTAGGTGCGATCGGAAAGTTTCAAGACTGCGCGTATAAAAACCCGTACACTTATCTCAGGTATTAAGTTCATCCATCACCCTCT